TTTTCTTACCTATTTTCCTATTTGAAATGGAACAGATAGATACCTTGATTAGTATGAAAATTTTGAAAGATGTGACATTAGTTTAAACAATGCGCCTTTAAACCAATTTTAACTCCTGGTAATCGTTTGTATAATAAACGGAAATAAAACAATCGTTCTTTGGATTTGGAAATTGATTTATTACAATTACAAATTACATCATTTTCAATGATGCAATGCAACGCTCTGTATATTATTGTATAGGGTGGTGCATGATTTAATACTACATCAATTTGACTATGCCTTTCCCTTATGACAGTTTCAACGATTTTGTTGCTATTTTGTATTTCCTATTACAGTCGATCCCCAAAATTCTTTCAAGATGAACAAATTTGACATGATTTTGGTTTTATTTGCTTTAATGGAGTTAAGGAACTCTGAAATTGGCTATACAAATCGCTTTGTAGCCCTCTTCCAATCCGTGACTTTAAAGACGAAATAGTGTAGTTTTTATTTTTTACCTGTATCATCAAGACGAACATTGATGGTTCATTACGCGAACGATACTAGATTTTATTAAGTGCTTTAACAAAAATGTTGTCATATAATTATCGTAACGATTATGTTTACCTTCATATTATATTTCTTGTTGCATGTGTTACAAGTTTTTATGTCTTTGATTGATTACTGCTTTCTAAATTCAATTTTTCCTGGATTTATTTAATGTGCTAATTAAACAACATTTTGCCGTTTGTCATGTTAATTTTATTTCTTAAAAAATTGTTTCTCAGTGTCTGTCAAACATCAATAATAAATAGAAAATTGTGGGCTTCTGAACATAAATAACACAAGATAACGTAACTTAGAAATAAATTTGGGATTTGATTGACTTTCGTTAGAAAATACAAAATAACAAGAAAACTGTTGAAAATGGATGTAGGATTAATTTGTACACAACACCATACAGGGTGTCTTGTTTGAATGAAAAATATGTAATTGGTTGGTAAATTGTCGACACTCTGTAAGCGATAAATTAATTTTCAATATTAATTTCGCGCATATCGATAATTAAAAATGATTAAAAGGCAAATATAAAAGCAGCACATTGAAGTAAACTATTTGATTAAAATTTTTCGATAAAATAAGTTGTTATGGAGATATGCAAAAATCTCGCAATAGTGTGCTACCCTGTATTCAATATAAATTCGCGCTTTTATCTGGTTCGGAAAGTTTTCCAAATGATTAAAAATAATTTTCTGCTTAAATATGGAAAACTTGTTATTACTTTTAGAAAAAACGATCGAACAAGGTTTTAGACGGTATAAAATACAAGCAAAACACCCGAATATCAAATTGAACCATGACCTCGGGGTAAATTTCGAGTACACTTCCAGCCGAAAAGAAAGTTTTTATTTGGTATATACTGTACGAAAATAAACGCGAAAATAAAAAAAAAGCGTTTTTGTTGACCTTGAAAGGGAATGTAGGGGGAAAAATCCTAAATGGAATAAAATATTTCTTTTCAGTTGGGCTTTAAAAAACTTGTTATTTTATTTATATGATTAGATATGCTTTTTGAGATTTTGTATGTTTGCGTTTGATTTTAATATTCCAGGAAATTAGATTTACATTTAAACATTGTTGACTGACGAGGCAGCATTCAGTCGTGATGTCATTGAACATTTTCGAAATATGCATCAGTGGAACATTGAAAGCCCACATGCAAAAAGGAAAATATCAGCGCCGGTTTTCTTTAAATGCATTGGCAGGGATTATAGGAGATAATCTTATATCTTTCTTTAACGGATCCTTTAATAGGGAAATGTATTTGCCATTTCTCCAAAAGGAACTACCACCTTTGCTGGAAGAGGTATCCTTGCAGTGGAAACAAAACATATGGTTAAGGCAAGATGGCGCTCCACCCCATTTTACATTGGCTGTATGAAGGTATTTAAATCAGGCATTTGAACATCGATGGATAGGTCGGAGCGGACCTCTAGCTTGGCCTCCTTGCTCACCAGACCTTAATCCGACGGACTTATTTTTTGTGGCACATAAAGTTTTTAGCTCATGAAACACCTATAACAGATATCAATGATCTACGACAAAAAATAATAAGCTGTTGCGAAATCATTGGGCGTATTTCTTCGTGTTCGACAACATTTTTTAAAATGTATAAGGAATAATATAATTAGCGTTATTATTATTTTTTTAAAATTTATGTTAATTAAATTAAACGTGTTATGACTTATGCCATTTTTTCACTTTTTTAATTTGTAGCATATTTAAATAGTCTACCGATGTGGAAGTAGAGTAGTGGTAGTAGTAGCAATTATTTAATAAAACTTATTCTGGAATTTTAAAACATAGAAAGTTTGAAGCAAACATCCAACTGATATTGTGAAATTTAAGAAAATTCACAATATTGACTGTTCACAAATATATTGCTTGTTTTATTATTTAGTATTAGTATTTGTTGAGTTAATGTGTTGTTTTTATGAATGCATGATTCAATTATTTTAAACGAACGAATACTTTTAAAGATACAAATTAAAATACTAAAATCGAAAATGGTAAAATAACTTACGCATACTTGTAAAGCATGCTAAATAAATATTATTCTGGGTTATATAGTACATAGTTAAATGTTATGTTATTACTTATGATAATCAATAATATATTTTTCCGACAATCTTCAAAAAATTACAATGTTTGGCACATTGATACAATGACAATTTATTTCTTAAATTGGTTTTGCTTGTAAGGAATAATTTGAAGAAGCCTCTATCCTTTTGTGATATTTTGTGGTGGTGTATAAATATAATTAAAAATCCAAATAAACCAGTGCGAGAAATACTTTGATGATATCGACTTGTCTGCTTCTCGTTACAAAAAACCAGTTCTCGATAACCAAAATAGCATTTCTCGCCAATACATACAGAATAACTATTTTCTATACCCTACTCTAAAATATTAAATTATGCACTGATGAGTGAACACAGACGACAGCTTTGTCAAACACTGTCGCGATCCGCTTCGGACATTTCCGGTACTTTAGTCATGGGTTTGGTAGCGACTGGATGTTTTCAGTACATTTAAAACGCTGATGATATTTTCAATTCTAATGGTCACACCAGACGGCATTTAGTCACGTTGATACATTTCTTCAAACACTAGTTTGTTAAACACTCTCAAGGATATAATCAACCCCGTGACTAAAGTAACATTTATAGAACTTTTCAATTTTTGACAAAACTATTTGGTTTATAAAATTGATACCACATGTGTTCGCAATTTATTAAGAATATTTTTTTTTCAGTGTAAAATTTATTGTTAAGTAAATGTACCCTTTTCGAAATAACCGATTCTATTTAAATATGTGTTTGTTTTTCATAGCTTTGGTAAAACTAATGCAAAGATTTGGTCTGAATATCCAAACAACCCAAGGCATTTATGTGCTGAAAGATAACCTTGGAGCTGGTAATGTAAAGACGTAATAAACTGGTCTCCACAAACACAACTCATTCCTTTTAATCCTTGTAGTTCAATCTGACATAATTAGCTATAAAAAATGAAAATGAAATTTAGTGAAGTGTATAATTTAAATGTATTTTTAGTAAAGGGAATTTTATCGCTTCGTACTAAAAAATAAATATTTCCTGGAGGGAGAGTGTTCTTAAAGTTCAAAAGGGGAGACCGATAATTTTAGACCTATTTTCATTATCATCATCATTTTCGGTAAAGTTATTCAATTCATTGCAAAAGAAAGGTTGTTAGCATGAGGTCAAGTCTTGTCGATGTTTCAACAGGCGTACCCCAAGGCTCTGTTTCAGGACCCCTTTTTTTTATTATATATAAATTTGAGCAACTAAATAAAATTATTTTATAGGATTATGATTCGAGCTTATTACTGATGAAAGTTTTTAATATAAACAAGCCAAAACAAAATCGAGAAAAAAAAAAACTAAAAATAACCTTTCCTCCCATTAATAATGCTAATACTGTGAATAATGTCAAAATTTTGGGAATTCATTTGGGTTAGGGACTGCGTTGGCCTCATCATATGAATAAATTTTCGCGTCAAATCTACCTATTTAAAAATCTTTAAAAAATATTAACTCCTAAATGTTTACTACTACTAACACTACTACGCCACTTTCCACATATATTAATTTTCTTGAAATGAAATGATAATTTTAAGAAATTCCCCACTCATTCGCAAGGTTGTTTATAGAATACTTGATCAGCTCACTTATTTGTTTTCTTGTACAGGTTGAAACTCAAGCCAGAAATCAAAAACCTAACCTACATCAAATTTAAAAATATTTCTAAGAAAACTCTATAAACTGACTGATACCTACCTATACCTGTAGGCGATAAATCAAAATTTGATAACCGTTTGAATATTTTTCGATATTAAGATACATAATTCAATTATGCATCGATCTGCTTTAAGGTTCCCCATATTTGCCTTTTGGTAATCCGTATGTTCCATTTTGACGCGATATTTTGCAGGAACCACAATGTCGTTTGTGTTTTTAAAAGTAATATATTTGTGTTAAAGCAACGAAATTGAATGTAATTATAACATAACAACAAAATGAAACTCATTCCAAAAATTCTTTAAAAATTCAAAAACAAAATAATATAGAGGTCATTCCATTCAAAATTAAGGATCTTAATGGCGCCTTTCGGTGTATCCGGAAGTGGTGTGACCTTGAAAATATTTTTGAATAAAAGGAACTTGTGAATAACCCTAAGTCCCAAAATGGCAATCTTGTAAGTTTTTCCTAACTCTATATACTTCTAACGAATGCTTACTGTGAGAAACCCTGGATAAAATTGATATACAACAGTAGTAGCAAGTAGGAAGAAATATATTATCATAAATATATTTAGAGATAAAATTCTTGGACTAAATATTAGATTATATCAGCCAACTAGATTTTCAATTTCTTATCTTTTCGATTTAAGATCAAAAGCGGAAATTAAATAGCAAATTTTTTTCTAGAACTACTTACCGACATTGAATCGCACTGGAAAATATTAAAACCTTCACCAAAAAACGTGTCAACAGCAATTCCTTTTAACTGCTTTTATCACACCGTTCAACGTCCGAATTGAGTTGAATGAGCGTTTAGCAACTTAAGCAGGTATCACTGACAATCGATGTATGTGTAAACGAGCTTCGAACGCGCCGAGTGCACTAATTTTTCCGTCAGTGTTTCCAACTCGTGAACTCCAAACTTAAAATTACCATGCGACGTTCTGACCCTTGTTATGATAATTATATGGAAATAATAGTGGCAGAATGCACATACATGTGATATATCGTTTACGCTAATTATTCGAACAATGGCAAAGCCACGGGAATTTTTGCTATACGCTTTAACGTGTTACTGATAGTGAGTAATAAAAATCTGACTTCAATAGTCAATAGTTAGTTTATTTATTTAAGTTATTTAATAAAATAGGCTAACCCACAGACACAGCTATTCAATTACGGGTGAACATAAATTTCAAAAATGTCTTAACCTAAATAGTCTTACAGGAGACTTTAGTAACTTGAGGCAACTAAAATGTAATAGACAAAGAGTGGATCTAGCATATAAACGATGGAAAATTATTAAAGAATTGCATTTTTCAACAATTTTTTAAAGGTCATAAAAGATAAACATAAGTTATGTAAAAACTATATCTAGATATTTCCTAAAAGTTTCTGTTTTATAATGAGGTTTCTAGCTAAAAAAGTAAGTTTCTCACTAAAAGTAACTTATTTGCCATAACAATCGTTAGGAATATTCAAGATTCACCATGCCATTAAATGAAGTATCACATTTTAGACATTTGCCCTTTACGTGTTTTTGCAAATTATAGAAAAGTCAAATAGCTCTTTGGATTCTTCACTAAACTAATGAGATCCAGAAAAGTCGAAAATTGCAATAACGCAAATGGGAATTCACAAAACAACACAAAATTTTGTGATTTGTGAAAAAGTTAGAATAGATTTTGGCAACAATCAAATAATGACATTTAATTTATATTTATCTTTAAATTGAGAGTTACATTGGTTCTAAATTATACCAGTGTGGGGTTGCTTTCTGAGTCATTTTATTTGGGAGGTTTTGTGAAGGGCATTTTGTCATAAAACACTTAATATCTCTATTGTGGAAGTTATTTGAGACAAGAGCAGTTGTGTCTTAATTCTGGGTTCAGTGATTGGGGTTGAGAGAGTTTTACGGCTCTGAAAACAGTTTGATAACCGCCGGCTTCTGGCCCAGTTGCTGATGTGACAATGCATTAAGGTATCGGTCTGTGTACGTAAGTTTTCTGAAAATTGAATCAATCAATGTTAGGTCTAATTTTCTCTTAATGAAAATACCTAGGAATGGGAGATTATTACTGGTTTCTAATTCAATGGTAAAAAGTATGGTTGGGTGTATAGAGTCAATCTCAGAAGGATTCTTCATTATGAGTACAAATAACAAACGTAGCGCCTTCATAATTTTGGTGCAAATGGCAAGTGTCAGAGATCCCACCCCATCTCATTTGTCCATTACAAGAAAAATATGTTCCAGAAAAAAATTTTCAATTGAGATGAAAATTTTGGTTTCAGATTTTCTTCTTTTAACAAATCTGTAATTATAGTGACAGTTTGCAGAAATTAAGCAGAATATTGTTTGGATCTAATGTACGAAACTATCGGTGTGCCTTGTAAAGGGTTTTAATAGAGAAGGGAGATATTTTTATAGACAATAGGTTGATGCTGAGAATAGTTTGAAGGGATAAACCTGGTTTTTGAACCTTAGGGAGCTCGCAGAAACGAAGAATTTTCTAGTCGTGAGGGGTGAAAGTTATTTTCACGGATTCTAATAGAGAAAAAACTTTAAGATTTAAGATTGCGTTCCATAGATGACGCAGGATTTTTTTTAAGTTGACGATAAAATTCATTTGTAAGCATATATTGTTTTTTTTTAATAGCCAGTTGCGTTCATGACGGGAGAAGATTTTAGAAATTTTAGAGCTATACGTTCGGCTTTGGAATGCTTGGCTTAGAGGTGGTTGCAGATGGGGCTTTGATATGATGGGATATTTTAAGAAAATTTTTGATTATGGTCCATAGATATATCTAAACAACCAAATAATTTCGGTCGTCACGTACATGATTTTCTGTCACTGATATGGGAATCAGTCATTCGAAATAATGTTCATGTCCCTCCTTTAGCTTCGCCTCCTGACCTTATTATTCATATAGGGGTTATAGAGAATTTTGTGCCACGGAACATTTTGCAAGTCAATATTGAACTCCTTAATGTTTATATTTTTTAGGTCCTTATAAGTAACTATTCGAGGCTTAGGTTTAGAACATTGAAAATATATTTCACCGAATACAAGATGATGATCAAATATGTGGTCTACATTCAATGTTCTAATTTTCCTAAATTTTTCAGGATGATATTTGTAAAGAACGGGTAGATTAATGTTTCAGAATGTTCAGTAATTCGAGTAGATTCAGTTAATATTTGCTGTAAACCATAAGTACTCACACACTGATTTTATTATTTAATTTGAAAGCATTTACGTTCATATCTCCAAGAATGAGAATGTTATTGAACGATGGAATAACAAATTACATTATATTATCAAGAATGACAACAGCTCGGTCTATGCAGCTCCCAGGAGAGCGGTAGATTACTCCGAATAATATAGATGTGCGACTAAAAGACAGTTTTAACCAAATATGTTCAAGTTCTGTAATCTGACCACAAATGTTATTGTCAAGTTTGAAAATTTCACGTTTTAAATAGCTCCTGACAAAAACATAAAAAACTCCCCACGACTTTGTCCCAGCTGTAGAGTCCAAAACCCGGTACACTCGCCAATTCAGACGATACAGCAGGCGCGAGCCAAGTCTCTGTGACAATAATAATATCAAAAGGGCCACGCCAAGCAAAAAAAAATTGTTAAGCATCGATCTTGCGTTTAAGTGACCAATGGTAATACTTTAAAATAAGTAAGAACTAAAAGTTCAGATTTTCACGAAATTATATATTATGACATGACAATTGTTTCGACAACACCGTGTCTTTATCAAATGTTCATGTCATATTATATAATTTGGTGAAAATCTGAACTTTTAGTTCATATTTATTTTGAACGTTAATACTCTTATTACATTTTGAATATAGTTGGTAAATACCTGACATACCGAACTCCTTGCTGTGTAATACATGCTCATTCCTCCGCACTGCAAGCGCTAAAACTATGATTTTTCGCCCACTTGGAACAATGTTACTGTGACATGCACTCTTTCTCGACATGACTATAAGCACAGCATTTGAAACATTGAACGATGCGTATATGATCGCACACATAAGATTTCTTCCAGCAAACATACAGAAATTACCTTTGAAAAATCAATTTGCGTGGTACAGGTGGTACTTCTACAATCAAATTTATTGAATTGCTTTAATTGTGTAATTATTTTTATATTATTCCTAGTAAAATCAGCTAAATCATTCGAATCAATTATATTGTCGACTATTTGCCCCTTATTTTCCAAGCAACCTAATTCAACATTTTTGATAATCAGAAGAGGATTAAACGATTTGGTCTCATTAATATTGTATCTCGATCTAAATTTGTTATTTGCACATTTCTTAATTTGATTCTCCCTGTGCCCATTCTATTGCAACGCCACCGCGTATTTGTTTAGCATGCATTTATATTGCCAGGGACAACGTTGTTTCTAAGTTCATTCATAATTTGATCCGTAGAAACAGATTTATTTCCACCTTTTGCGATTAGGACAGCTGTTTTATTGTCAAATTGTTTTTTAGCAATTTCACTATATCAATTGGAGGTTTTATCAACTGGATGCAAAAACAGAAATGTATATAGCATTTTTATTGACCGTTGCTGCGTCAAGTAGTTTTGAATCGCAGATTTTTGCAAATTATTTGTATATTCTAGCTCCGATAGCAGTTTGTCTAAAATAACTTTTTCCAGATGTAAACATTCTGTTTCCTTACGTAGAATTTCTTGGTTAGAACACTCGATGTTGTCCTTTGTAGATTTCCATTCACTTTTGCAAGGATCACAAAACCAAACAATAGTCTGATTTTCATTGATGAATTCTGTTCGATGCGTCATTATTGATCTTTTGGTGTTTCCCCCTAGGAAAGACAACAATTGGCCTCGTATATTTCGAAGGGAATAGACAAAGACAATCTGAAATAAATTCACCAAAATTTGTTTATTGTCTGCTATTTTATTACAAGCACTTCTGGTGAACCTGAGGTTTTGAGCTAAAAATCAATAGAACAAAAAAAAACGATTTGTATGCATTAAAATCGAAATTGAATTAAGTTCGGTTGCTTTTAATAGAACTGTCAAGACTTTTGAATCGTTTTGCTTCTAAACCAACGCTGAATCTTTAAAATTGCGCACTGGATACAATCTCAAATATCAAGGAGAGATTGTTGATTTTACACTTTTACCCTTTTGTTTAATACCAACTAACTAAAATAATTTTAGAGAAGAATCAGTGTTATCAGGTGTACCCCACTGGCCTTCATATGAGATTATGTGTTTCTCAAATAGTTTTTCCGAAGTTTTCAAGGTTCTTATACTAGCTGAAATATATATCGGTCAACAATAGCTCCCTCTGCGAACCGATGAAGAAAAGTTACTAATTGAAGGTTTTTAAACAAAGCCGCAAGTACAAATACACCTGGAGTTACTCCTGTTTTACCACTCAAAGATGACAAAAGTAAGCAAGAAGATAGATGCGCTATCACTGCCAGAATTGACATTAACGGCAGTAACTCTTCTTGCTCTCACTTCGTCAGACATAATAGATATGGCAATTTGGAGTTGTGAAAAACTTCACATCGCAATAGGAATCAACATTTTCTCTCATTTTCATTTTTCATCTACTTTGTTGCGCCTAGAAATAATAAAGCCTTTTCGAACCAAACATAACAAACAGTTGTTTTTAAATTTTAAAAACCAATTAACCAATGTTTACACTATTGGGTCAGCAGCAGGCTAAGGCTGTACTCCGATTACAAAATACCCGTGCATCCAGCTAGATTTATTTTTTTATCATAATTTGTATGCATTTTTTTTATATATATTTACTAAACCAATAATTACTTTAATAATAGATGCACTTTATTTTGTAACTGACATTCAGGAATAAATAAAAGAAATTTTATTTTG